CGTTTTTCCCCCTAATTTTTCCGGGTTTTTTCCAGGCCTTCACATCTCTACTCACAACTTTAATGCCAGCAGCTCACAAAGTAGAATGTTTTGCTCACAGGACTCCACAGCTTAGAGGAAACATTGCTGGAGACTTGGGGACTTTTCAGTTTAGAAAAGAGATGACTGTGGGGGGAAGACAAGATAGAGGTTTATAAAATTATGCATAGGGTGGAGAGAGTGGACAAAGGGGACTTTTTCTTCCTCTCCCCAAAGACTAGAACTCGAGGGCATCCGATGAAGCGCCTTGACCTGGATAGCCCAGGCAACCCCAATCTCATCAGATCTCGGAAGCTAAGCAGGGTCAGTCCTGGCTAGTATTTGGATGGGAGACCTCCAAGGAATACCAGGGCTGTGACACAAAAGTCGGTGATGGTCAGCCACCTCTGAACGTCCCTTGCCTTCGAGCCCCACCAGGGGGTGCCAGAGGTCAGCTGTGACTTTGAGGCAAAATAAATCAAATAAAAATAAATTAAAAAGAGCTTCCGATGAAGCTGAGGGGCAGTAGATTCAGAACAGACCAATTGCAGTCTTCAAATATTTGAAGTCCGCATGGTCAAAGCAATGGTATTCCCAGTTGTCATGTATGGCTGCAAGAGTTGGACTATAAGGAAGGCCGAGCGCTGAAGAATGGATTCTTTTAACTATGGTGCTGGAGAAGACTCTTGAGAGTCCCTTGGACTGCAAGGAGATCAAATCAGTCAATCCTAAAAGAAATCAACCCTGACTGTTCCCTGGAAGGCCAGATAATGAAACTGAAGCTCAAATACTTTGGCCACCAAATGAGAAGGGAGCACTCACTGGAGAAGACCCTGATGCTGGGAAAGATTGAAGGCCAAAGAAGACGGGGACGGCAAAGGATGAGATGGTTTCCATGGGGTCGCGAAGAGTTGGACTCGACTGTGCGACTGAACAACAACAACATGTGAAAGATGGAGCGGATCTATTCTCTCTTGCTCTGCATTGCAAGACTAGATCTAACGGGTGGGAATTACAAGGGAGTCGTTACCAGCTAAATATCAGGAGAAATGTGGACAAACACGACCTAATCAGAGAACAAATATAAAGAAAACAGTCGTGTCTGACCCACAAATCAAGCAGTCAACAAGACTTGCAAAGAAAATGCTTACTATGTATTCCAGTCTGAAGCACTGCAACACAATAAATCAATTCCTACAAATCATAAGAAAATCCTAGTGCAAAGGTACATCATCAATGTCGTCTCCGTATTATATAACAACGTTTCAAAATTAGATCTTCCTCAGGAAATGTTAGAGTGATACAAAGGTTTTCTTGTTCATAAAGTGCTTTACAAGAAGTCATGAAAGATAATACATTCAGATAGGACGATGGTCTTAGTAAATGTTCAGGCTCAAGTATGCTGCTAAGATTCTAATGGATCCATTAGAGGCTTAGCAGCATATTTGAATCTTAGGATCCATTAGATGCTTAGGAGCATATTTTCTTTGCAAATCTTGTTGACTGCTTGATTTGTGGGTCAGACTCTCATGACTGTTTTCTTTATACTTGTTCTCTGGCCACTGTGTGAGACAGGATGCGGGACTAGATCTACCACTAGTCTGATCCAGCAGGGCTCTTCTGGTGTTGTTATGAAGGCCTCAGCCTCCATGTCCTGTTGTTGGCCCTCCAGAAGAACTGGTTGTCCCCTGTGTGAGACAGGATGCTGGACTGGATGGACCCTCACTGGTCTGATCCAGCTGGGCTCTTCTGTTGCTCTTATAAAGGCCTCAGCCTCTCTGCCCTGTCGTGGGCTGTCCAGAGCGACTGGTTGGCCACTGGGTGAAACAGGATGCTGGAGCAGATGGACTATTGGTCTGATCTAGCAGGGCTGTTCTGATGTTGTTATGATACTGAGAGGCCAGCAAGCACCAGTAGTACCCATTTTACAGTATAATTTTTTAAAAAATCCATGTTGGCCGCAGGTCAAATTATGAACGAAATTCCAAATTCCTGTTGTTCAGATAGAGTGGTCGTGCTCGGAAGCTCCTCAATAAAATAACAACATCACTTGTTGTCCGGTGTTTCCTTCCCTCATTCCCCTGCAGCCTCTTTTTGTAGCAGGAACTCCTCTGCATATCAGGCGACACACCCCTAATGTAGCCAATCCTCCAAGAGCTTACAAAGCTCTTCTTACAAGGGGCTACTGTGAGCTCTTGGAGGATTGGCTACATTAGGGGTGTGTCGCCTGATATGTGAAGGAGTCCCTGCTACAAAAAGAGCCCTGCGAATATATGTTAGGGTTACCGGCAGCGGGCCAATGAGAAGCTGCAAGACACAGAGAGGGGAAAACAAACTTGACCCAAAAACTGGAATCAAGGATCACAAGGGTAAGGAAGAAGTTAATAAAGGGCCAATATTAAAAACCTAGTTGAAACCTATACAAAAATACACGTATTTATTAGAAAGGCAGTTAAAAACAAATAAGCCTCGTTGAAAAGTTCAAGTGGCCTGAACACAAGGGCCAATACACCTGACCTGACACGTTTCCACCCTATCAGGAGCCTTCTTCAGAGATGAAACAGTTTGAGGTACATGTTACAATATTACTTTATTACGATAAGATAACCAATACGTTAATACTGGACCAAGAAAAGGAAGGCTGTAGAAGAAAGAAAATTGAATATGAATAATAATCAAGACATTGATCTTGCTGCTTAAGTAAGTAATATAGCCATTTTTACTACACTGTAAGTTTAAAAATACTTGATTATTCTTATGTTTCTAGTTCTATACATTAATAAATATGTAAAGGACAATTCAAAGGTTCAAGTGATTTTCTATTGATTATTATTGATTTCCAGGAACCCTTGGGAGAAATTCTTTGGGGCTTTCCTGGAGAATTAACAACCTGTTAGCCATTAAGCAGAGTTGTGGAAACAGGTGTTTTAAATCAATTTAATTGACAAGGGTTTTTTTCCCCTAACTAGGAGTGTTTGAGTTTTAATGAACAGGTGTTTTTGCATCAGCTCTTTTAATTGGGATGACAGAATGATCAATTGTCAGACTTTAAGATTTATGAGAACCTCTCTGCTTCAAAGAATGGGTTCAGAAGTTCATTTCAGCTTATGAATTTTAGCAAATTTTAAATGAGAAAAAACCAGATTATGTTTACTCTTTAAGTTTGGAATACTTTAACGTATCAATATTGAACTATTGGAATCTATAAGCAACATTTATATATATGTTTGCCTTTTTCCAGCCAATTTTAGATAGAAAAGACTTTGTTTGAGAAAGCTTTTATTAATGCCAGTGAAGGGAGTTTTGATAGCAGAGAGCACACTGCTAATGGTGGAAGCCTTTTACTTCAAAGGAATTAATCAAGATGTTGTTAGCAAAGCCTAAAATTGGGGTAAAACAGAGGACAACTATATACTGTAACAGAGAAACTCTCTCTTGATTGGTTGTGTGTGTTTTTAGAAAATATTTGTAAAGACAGCGGCTAGCTAAAATATTATTTACCAAGATTATGGTAGAACTCTATATTTTGTGTAAAGCTGAATAATTTCTGCTACCAAGTTTACTTTTTAAAGGTAGAGGGGTGTTTGCTTAAGATATTCAGAACTAACCTGGCAAAGATCCATAACTATTAACAGGCAAAATGTTAGAAGATGATCAAGAGCTGACCAGGTGTTTAGAGAGCCCAGCCAAAATAGAAGACATTAATCATGGCAGGTCAGCTAAAGAAGCTAATTAAAAGGGTCAATTAAAAATGCAGAACTTGTATTATAAAAGGTTGACTCCTGCTGGCTAAAGTAAGATGGTATATTTTATAAATTAGAAGTTTCAATTTAGACAAAAGCAGCTTTATAAAATTACCAAAAACATTCTGATTGATCAAAATAAAAACTGATAGATTCAGTGCATCTACAAGAGCTTTATACCATAGGCTACTTTGAAACACTAAAAGAATACATGTAAAGGGTTTAATTCTTTAGAATGTCATTGTAATTATATATGTTTTCATATTTTTGTATACCCTTAGTGAAAATAAGCCTATAAAATGCTTTAAGAATATTGTTATACTTTCAGACCTACTAGGTGGTTAGCATATAGGTTAAAAAAAGAAAAACAGAAAAGAGTAATAAAATCTTTAAAAATGATAAAGGGGAGGAAAAATTTAGACAAAAAGAACTTAAAGAGATAGTAGAGACCTTCTATAAAAACCTATATCAGAATCTGAACCTAAAAAACAAAGAAATACAAGAATACCAAGAAAAATGGGAAAAGAAAAAAATTAACAAAGAACAAGTGTCTTTGTTAAATGATCCAATAACAGTTTGTGAAATGATTGAGGCAATTAAAAATGGAAAAAATAGGAAATCCCCGGGGCCAGACGGTATTCCCACAGAATTCTATCAAGTATTTGAAGAGCAGATCCTGGAACCATTTAAAGATTTATTACAAAACATCTCAAACTCAGGAAAATTACCTCCTTCTTGGAATGAAGCTGCATTGACACTGATCCATAAACCCAATTCTAATGAACGGAAATTAAGAATTACAGACCAAAATCACTCCTGAATACAGATTACAAACTTTTTGCTAAGATTTTGGCAAACAGATTGAAAAAAGTTCTAGGACAAATAATACATAAAGATCAGTTGGGGTTTTTTTTGCCTAAAAGACGAATTCAAAATAATATCAGAATAATAGTTAACATATTGGAATATTATGATTGAATCTTGGAAAATCGCTGGCTCTAATCCTTCTAGATGCAGAAAAGGCTTTTGATAACATCAATTGGAACTATATGCTGCAAAAGTTTTCCAATTGGGAGTGTGGAAATAATTTCCTTACAGTGCTAAAAGCCATATACACCACTCAAAGTGCAAAAATCCTAGTAAATGGAGAACCCACTCAAAATATTCAAATACAGAAGGGTACCAGAAAGGGGTGTCCATTATCACCTTTACTTCATATTCACTTTAGAATCTCTAAATGATAGGATAAGGAATAACGATAGGATAAAAGGTCTGAGAGTAAAAGGTGAAGTGTTTAAACTTCAGGCCTTCACAGATGATTTAATCTTTATATTGGAGGAACCAGAACAATCGATAACTCATTTAATATCTGACATTCAGAAATATGGCAACTTAGCGGGGTTAAAAATTAATTTCCAAAAAACTAAGATAATAGTTAAAATCTGTGCACAAAGGTTAATACAAACAATTCAAGAGATTTCAAAAGTGGAGGTAGTTCAAAAAGCAAAATATTTAGGCATTTGGATTACCAACAAAACATCAACCTTATGCGAGAATAATTATATACAACTCCTAAAAGAAATCAAAGTAGATTTAACCCGGTGGGATAAAAAACACCTTTCGTTATTGGGCAGAATAGCAACTGTTAAAATGAATATACTACCAGGACTCCTTTTTCTGGCCCAAAACCTACCAATAATTAGAAAATATCAATACTTCAAAGATTTGGAAAAAATGGTTGGTAAATTTATTTGGCAATCCAAAAAACCACGGATTAAAATAAAAGTTCTTCAAGAAATTAAACAAAAAGGAGGATTTGCTCTACCTAACTGGCAAATATATTACTCAGCAGCTTCAATGGGTTGGATTCAGGAATGGGATACACTAGAAGACACAAGAACATTAGCCTTAGAGGGATTTGATCTAGTAATGGGTTGGCACGCGTATTTGTGGTATGGAAAAGATAAAATTCACTCCAACTTTCGTACACACATAACTAGAAGTTCTCTTATTAAAGTATGGAATTCAATAAATGATAAAAACTATAATAAAATACCAATGTGGATTTCTCCCATAGAGGCATGTTCAAAACCAACTCTTAATAACTGGTAAAAATAAAGAAACCTATGGTAACCTACTGAACAAAAAACCTGAGTTAAAAACAGATGAAAATTTATTGAAACAAAATATAGATCTTTCCTGGTGGGAAAAAAATGTAGTAAAATCAAGGTATAATGAAGATTTTTTAAAAAGTCTTCTATACCAGTCCAAATGAAATTGACAAAATATGGCTCTCTTCAAGCAACAAATTAATTCAAAAGTTATATAAAAATTGTTAGAGGACTCTTTACAGGGTGAAACCATTAAAACCTCAATGAAAGTCTGGACAAAGGAGATTGGTCATCCAATAGAAACAGAACAATGGTTAAAAACTTGGAAAGCCCTTAAATACATGAGAGCAACCCCCTATAAAGAAAATATATATAAATTACTCTATAAATGGCACTGGACCCCTGATAGAATAGCAAAATGTTACCCTAGATCATCCAATATATGCTGGAGATGTAAAAGAAATGTAGGAACATATCTCCACATACATAGGATATTTCTAGACTTACTAAAAATTAAAATGCCCTTAACACCAGAAATTTACCTACTTAATATGTTACCGGATGATATAAAAGACCAAACTTATATAATTGTTTATATTTTACCAGCAGCTAGAATACTCATTGCCAAACGTAGGAAATCTAAAGACATACTGACTTTAAAAGAGCTCAAATATAAAATATTAGAAGTAGCGGAAATAGATAAATTAAGTATAAGACTACAAAATAAATCAGAGGAGATATTTTGGAAAAGATGGAAAACAATTTATGATTGGCTGAAGATAAAGAAGATGGACTAGACTCGAAAATATGTAAAGATATATTATATCATGTATAAGAAACAGAAATATGCTTTATTGAAACAAATGTTTAATTACACAAACATATTTTTGATTGAAACTGAAAATAAAATTATTTTAAAAAGAATATCGCAATACTTTTATATGCATGTATTAATGTAAAAGAACCATTTTTGTAATGAAAACATCTAAGTTTTGTTCTAAAAATGAGTTGAGACACAGCCAAGTAATATCCTGTTTATCAAATATGTGATTGATGACTGACCAGACAAAGAAATCTAAACTGAGCATGTCTAAATGATTTCAGTGATGATGAAAAGTGAGGAGGAGCAAGAAGAGCGTATAAGCAAGATCCCAGCTGTAACACATTGAACATCCACGCTGAATTTCTTTCCTGTGAGATGTTCCTTATTCGAATAAATCCTTTTTTGACCCTTTATTGCCTGGAATAGTTTATTTCACTGTCTGGTTTATTGACTAGCCACACAAGTCAAAGAACCTTAGCGTCCTCAGGGTGTTGGTATCAAATAGATAAATAAATGCATGCCCGTGTCGCGAGGCCTTACCTTTCCCCAGGTCAGCTGGGTTGAACCCGGTGACGAAGAATTTGGGCACCCCCCATTCAGTGCTGACCATGACGTTGTGCCTCGGCTGGTACCAGAAGTCGTACCCTTGGGGGGCCGCTTGAGTCGGTCTCTCCCAGTTCCCCTTCACTTCGAAGGTCTCCGCATCCAGAAGGACAAAACCACCTGGCAGAAGAACGAGATCCGTGCTCAGAAATCCGCACCCCTCTTCCCGGACTCCTCGTCAAGGGGTGGGGTGAAAATTAGATCGAAGGAATCCAAAACAAATCAGTTTTTTGTACGTGGGCAGATGCATAAATCTCAAGGCTACCATGTTGAGGCGATTGATCTGTTCACCGAACAACCTTCAAAGGTGCTCCCCAACAACCAAGATCAATGCCCTGATTAAAATTGTCAGTACTTTCAAATTAAGGGCAGAACCAAGTTTGAGTCCAGTGGCACCTTTAAGACCAACAGAGTTTAATTCTGTGTATACGCTTTCGAGCCATCCTTTCATGTGCACGTTTTGTATTCTTCTCCTTTTTTCTTTTCTCCCCCATTAGCACCAATTAAAAGAAATAAATAAAACTATCAAACACAATTTTCCAAGTAGAGTTTCCGTAGCTGAATGACAGATCCACTTTTGACCAGGTTATCTGTTTCTTTCCTGTGAGATGTTCCTTATTCGAATAAATCCCTTTTTTACCCTTTATTGCCTGGAATAGTTTATTTCACATTCTGGTTTATTGACTAGCCACACAAGTCAAAGAACCTTAGCATCCTCAGGGTGTTGGTATCAAATAGATAAATAAATGCATTCCCATTTAAGAGAAAGAAATAAAATGATCGAACACAATTTTCCAAGTAGAGTTTCCGTAGCTGAACGACAGATCCACTTTTGACCAGGTAATTTGTTAATTGTCTAGACCAAGGCTCCCCCACCTTTTTGAGCCTGCGGGAACATTTGGAATTCCAACACAGCCTGATGGGCACAGCCACAAAATGGCTGACGCAGGAGGCGGAGCAAGTCACAAAATGGCCACCACAGCTTTCCTTCAGTCACACAGCAAAGATCCTTGTGCTGTGGGGGGGGGGGGGAGTTGCTGCCAAAGCAATGTTTTTTTAAAAAATCCTCCACAGCCAATCAGAATCCTTGCTGAGCAAAAGGCCTACCTGGTCCCACCCATTTCCTAAAAGCACTTTGACAGGCTCCCCGGTGCCTATAGGCACTACGTTGGACACCCCTAGTCTAGACCGCCCTCAGCTGGGATTCCCCGTGGGGATCCGTTTCGTGAAATACCTTTTGCATTGCCCCGCGGGTCCCCTATTGAACTGATCATGACTTCCCCACTGCCTAGGCAGTGAGAGGTGTGCAGGAAGGCCAGGTCGCATTTCTGGAAGATTTCTCTCGGCTCAATCACCTGTGGAGGCGAAGGAAAGGACATTTGCGATTAAGTTACACTGACTGGTTGCTGTAGATTTTCTGGGTTGTGTGGCTGTGGTCTTGGCATTGTAGGACCTGACATTTTGCCAGTAGCTGTGACTGGCATCCTCAGAGGTATAACACAGAAAGATGGAGTACTCTCTGCGTCAAGGTGAGAGGAAAATGGTAGGTAGGGCTGAGTCATTATCTGTAGGAGCTCCCCAGGCTATGAACATGCTAATGGAGGACCTTTCCTGAGGAGGTTCTTTTGTATATGGATTGTTTCCTGAGGAGGTTTCCTGTTTCCTGAGGAGGTATCTGAAGGACAGTCGTCTCCCATATATTTCTGCCCAGGAATTAAGATCACAAGGAGAGGCCCTCCTGACTGTCCCAACAATCAGAGAAGCTCGTCTGGTGGGCACACGAGGACGGGGCCTTTTCGGTGGCAGCCCCACAGTTATGGAACAACCTCCCCAGGGAGGTGCGCCTGGTCTCCTCACTTTCAATCTCTAGGTGGCACTTGGAAAAGGTCTTATTCAGGACTGCATTTGGCCACGTTCAGTAGCAGTCCTGAATAGTTATTATTTCAGATCTTGGTTTTATGTTTTTAATGCCTTTTATTCTACGTGTTTTATTGGGAAGGAGACCGTTTCAGGTGGGTGGACACGTTAGCCTGTAGTAATCTGAGTCAGATAGAGCTATTGATTTGATTTTTTAAAAAAACATTTGTCAGCCACCTGATAAAGAAAGCTGTGTGTAAGGAAGAAAGGGGGCTGATAAATGTTTTTAAATAAACCAAATGATTAGCGCTATTGGACTCAAATTTTGTTCTAGCAGAAACCGTCCTGGTTCCGAGCTTGGGGCATCTATATTTGAGCATCACCTGCTCAGGCATCTATATCCATAGGAGATATCTTTATCCTTGAAAGTGCAAGCGACAGGCAGCAATTTAACATTGTTCTCCTCCATTTCTCCCTCACAACGACCCTGTGAGGTAGGACAGGGTAACAGAGCGACTGGCCCAAAGTCACCCAGGAAGCTTCTCCTTTCCTCCATTTTAGCCTCACAACAACCCAGTGAGGTAGGACAGGCTGAGAGGGTGACTGGCCCAAGGTCACCCAGCGAGCGTCTCCTCTCCTCCATTTTAGCCTCACAACGACCCCTGTGAGGTAGGATAAGCTGAGAGGGTGCCACTGTTCTCTCTAAGCTGAGTTAGTGTGAGCTAGCTCACAGTTTTTTAGCCTCTGGCTCACATATTTTTGTCTTAGCTCAGGAAGGATGGGTCCAGAGCAAGCTAATCTATGCAGCAGTCAAATCGCTTGCTCACCACTTTAATGCCAGTAGCTCACAAAGTAGAATTTTTGCTCACAGGACTCCACAGCTTAGAGGGAACATTGGAGGGTGCCTGTCCCAATTTCACCCAGCAGACTCCATTTTATCCTCATAAGAGCCCTGTGAGGTAGGATAAGCTGTGAGGGTGACTGGCCCGAGGTCACCCAGTGAGCTTCCATAGCAGAGTGGGGATTCGAACCTGGGATCCTAGTCCAGCCCTCTAACATACCCTCGTCCAGCCCTCAAACCCCTACACTGCACCAGCTCTAGAGGCCATTGCCTACTGCTTCCGATGGCCTGATGCAGAACTTCCCGCCACGCCCCAAAACACACTCCCCAAGCCCCCCCATGTCCTCCTTATCCAGCTCCTCCCCCCATTCCCAGGTTTAATTTGCGCTTCTCCGATTTATTTATTATCATTTGCATTCATAGCCCGCCCATCCCGCAAGCGGGCTCAGGGCGGGTAACATCATAACACATACAATCAATACAATCAAAATGAAACCATTTAAACCATTTTAAAAAAATTAATAAACATTAAAACACAGTCACACTTCGAATAAATCAGCTGGCTGTGGGGGTTCCCTGGCATATTATTTGGGTTGATAAGTAGTTGAGAAGTGGATGGGTGACAACCACCTCGGGGAGGCCACATAGAGAGGTCCGTTGCCTGAACCGAAGGCCTGGCGGAAGAGCTCCGTCTCGCAGGACCTCCGGAATCGAAGAAGATCCTGCAGGGTCCTGATCTCGACTGGGAGCATGTTCCACCAGAAAAGGCCCTGGCCCTGGTTGAGGCAAGACAGACGACCTTTGGGCTGTGGACAACCACGAGACATTGGTCCATAGTGCGTAGATGTCGATCCATAAAGACGTACCGTGAAGAGCCTGGGAGCCCTCTGGTCAGTCCCCGTGTCCACCACATAAATGCGAGAGGAGCCGAGACAGGGAAGTACCAGTCTGTTCCGCTTCTTGGTGGCATCCCCGAAACAGCTGCTGCAGGCGTTCCACCCGGAGTGGTGGAGTTCATCATCGATGTAAGGCATCGTTAGGCGGTGGATCACCTGGGGAGGAAGGCGGGACGTTAGCTGCTCTCCAATCCGGGGCCCCCCAACCAAGGCACCCGTCAGCACATTTCCTGGTGCCCCCCAAAGGTTTTTCTAAAGTGAGCATGTGTCATGAGCCAGCTTGACTAGCCTGAGTCCAGTGTGACTTGAAGACTCCTCAGGGGTCGAGGAGCCACAGGCAGCCAGCCCTGAACCAGATAAAGACCGATTTCCCACAAGCCACTGCTCCACCCTCGCTCTTCCCTCCCCCCGATTGTATGCGTCAATTTCCCAGTACTTGCTGTGTGGCCGCATTCTGACCCGCAGCTTCGCCTGATTTAGGTTGCCAAGTGGGACTTACCTTGGCAGCGGGGGACTCCCGGGTGGATCCCGAAGCGTGCACGCGCACGCCGCGTGCACGTCACCAGGAAGTGACATTATGACGCCGGGCATGCTGGGGGCGAGGCCACGACCATGGGAAATCGGGCGAAGCTGCGGGTCAGAATGCAGCCACACGGCAAGTAATGGGAAATTGACGCATACGATCTGGGGAAAGGGAGGAGCGAGGGCGGAGCAGCGGTTTGTGGGAAATCAGTCCGAGTTAGTGAATTAGAGACACAGGAGTCTCCAGATTCATTGCTGGCAGCTGACATGACCTGCCCACGCACAGCGCTGAACTAGCCAACGAAGCTGAGCTGCAGGAGAGTGGCCCACCAGGGTCCCCCCCCCATTAACTGAACAGTAAAGGGAAAGGCTCCAACAAGACTTAAGGCAAGGTAAGGTAAGATTGGCCTCGACCAGAGCGAGGGCCTTTGTTGTGTATTAACTTGCATATGAGCAGAGGTCATTTCAGGAGGGATCGGGGGGATCGCAGTTCCCCCGGGTGAGGTGCAAGGGGGCGGGGCACATGACAAAGCCCCGCCCCTTGCTTCCGGCCGCCCCGCTTCCGGTCCTCTTTCAGCCAGGAGGAGGCAGGAGAAGAGGGAGGGTAAGTTGCTTCCTCCCCGCCTCTCCCCACCCCTGCCTGCCTGGGGCCAGGGAGGGCCTTGGCGGGTCTTCCTTGCACTCCCGCCGGCCTTGCAGGTCCACCGCCAGGCCCCTGATGTCAAGGGGTGTGGCATATGCTAATGAGTTATGCAAATGAGTTCCCCTAGTTCTTTTTCTACGAAACGACCCCTGCATATGAGCATGAGTTTGGAATGGTATCCAAAATCCACCAATCAGAGAAGTGGAAAGTATGGAGGGAAGCCTAATGATTGGTCTTTATTCTGTCAATACCATTGGTTGTTAATTGACATGTGGGCGTGGATATCTAAACCCGGACAGTTTAAAAAGGAGCCTGTTGCTCCAGTCTTTTGTCTTCGTTCTTAATCTCTAATAAAGCTGAATCACTGTTTTGTTCAAATCTGCGTTGAGTCTCGTACTTAACAGCCTTCTCAGTGGCGGCTCCACACTGGTGGAATGAGCTCCCGGAAGACACCAGGGCCCTGGACCTCCTACAGTTTCACAGGGCCTGTAAAACGGAGCTCTTCCACGAGGTCTTCGATTAGGAGCCACCGCTGCCCATATACTGATAACATCTGAACAGTTAACATCTGAACTGTTAAGGCCCTCTTTGTTCACTGAATAATAACAGCCAGTGTATTTGACCCTGCCATTTTTCGTATACTACGTTATTGCATTGTCTCGATGCATCTGTGTTTTAATGTATTTTAACCTACTGTAAGCCACCGTGAGCCTGCTACGCAAGGAGGGCGGGATATAAATCAAATAAACAAACAAACAAATTATTGTATATGGCCATCGGCCCTTACACTACAAATTCAGCAGGTTCAGACTCTGTGCTGATTACTTCAGGAAAAAATTTAGAAGTCTGACTCCACAAAAGGAGAAGTCTTTTAAAACCTTCAGCGCACAATTAGCTGACTCCTTTGACAAATGGATCTCATCAGCCAAGGCTGACTCTAAAGAAAAATTAAGGGAACTGATTATTCTAGATCAATTCCTTTTCCATCTTCTCTCAGAAATAAGACTTTTGGTGAAAGATAAACTTCCTGAAAATGTCAAACAGGCAGCAGAATGGGCTGATAAGTTAATGCTCAATAGAGGAGGTTCGCCTCGGGTTCGCCACGGGAGCTCTACGCTTCCCAGATGTGGTGGTGAGATCGCGCCCGGAAAATCCACCTATCTTCCGTCTCTCTAGCGTGCCTAATGCTCCGTGTGACCGCAGCCATTGGCTGTATTGTGAGGTGGAGTGCTGCACTCTGAAATTCACTAGCCAATTTATCTTTGGAGTTGTAGTTGAGGAGTTGTAGCTGGCCATACAGACCCGGTAATGAGAGATACGTAGGAATAGTATAGTGGCACTGTGACGTCCTCCTTATTGGGGAGGACTAGTTTCCCTTTAAAAGTGTTCTTTTTATTTTATTCTACTAGGTCTATACGGCTGCCACCAGGAAATTTAAGGCTTTCCAAACCTTTATACTTTACTGTTGCTCTTACTATTTTGGTAGACCGAGTACAGGGCTTACGAGGAACTATGTGGTCCTGAGGAAGTATTTCTTTCAGAGCTGGTATACTTAAATAAAAGAGGATTTATTGAAGTAATTCATAAATAAAAGGGTAGAACAATGTAACCAGTAGGGAGTAAATCATGAACAAATGCTTAGTGTATCACACACAATCTGCTCCCTTACTGACAGGGATCTTTCAGGTAACTTTGTAACACTTTAACTCAAGGTCATATATGTTTACTGTTTCTCTCCAGGACATACAGCCTTTCCTATAACTTGTCTTCAATTAAGCTTTCATTTAATTTTTCCTATTCTCTCAGCCTTCCTTCTGCTTCTCACTTCCCTCACACACCGAACTAACTGCTTGTCTAACTCATTCCCCACACAGAACTAACTGCACTTATCAACTGTCAACCCTAAAACTCCTGACTGACACACCCACTCATCCACTCGTCTTCACCTCCAAAACCCCTCCCCCTCTCTGTCAACCACCAATCACACCACACTTGCCTCTTTCAACCACTCTAGTCTATCTATCACAGCCATGCAACCAAACTTTTAAAGAGACACACATACACATAAAACAAGGAATCGCCACACTGCTCCATACGCTTATCTAATTTTCTTTTGAAGCCGTCCATGCTTGTAGCCGCCACCACCTCCTGTGGCAGTGAATTCCATGCGTTAATCACTCTTGGCACAATGGACCTTGCATATTCCAATGGTGTCAGGGACTGAATTAGGGACCCTCTGCGTGCCAAGCAGGTTCTACACCACTTAAGCATAGCAGCGAGACGCTAATAAGACAACGGGTTACAAACCAAGAGAGCTGTGGTCTACCTATACCGTACACAGCCCTGGGCAGAGTCCTCCTAATTTTCTTTTTCTCTCTTATCTAATCCACTGAGACAGCAACTATCAAAACACCCAAACTGGCATTACGAGTTGGGATGATTCTTGACAAGTTCAGGATTGTTTCTGGGTTTCTCACATAGCTCAGACTGCAGAGCCAGCGACGCTATCGGTACCTTTAGGGGGTTCATCTTTTTTTGGAAGGGACGCTGCCCAAAACCTTACGAAGCATTTCACAAAATTAACACGAAAGTTGCCCCTGGGAGGTTATAAGTATGCAGGTGCAGCCCATCTGGGCCATTTTCTTCACTTGATTAACTGATCCCGCTTCCCAAGAAGCGTGGGGATGGTTTTTGTCTGTTTCCTTCTTAGAAATGGCTTGTCATTGTCTCCGCTGAATGTGGCTCATGGGCTAAACAAGAGAGTGGAAATCAGCCTCGAATCGAAGCGACGTTCTGAAAATGTGGGTTCCCCCCCCCCCATTCACTTTTTCAACTGACCCGGTTACATTGGTACGGTGCAGAACAGATTACTACAACACACCGTGTGTGGAACTGCCTTGAAGATAATTTAGAAATGATGGATGGTTTTTTTGTAAAAGGTAAAGGTTCCCTTGCTCGAAAGCCAGTCGAATCCGACTCTAGGGTTGCGGTGCTCATCTCCGTTTCAAAGCCGAAGAGCCAGCGCTGTCCGAAGACGTTTCCGTGGTCATGTGGCCGGCATGACTAAACACCAAGGCACACGGAACGCTGTTCCCTTCCCACCGAAGTGGTGCCTATTTATCTCCTTGTAATTTCTTGCTTTTGAACTGCTAGGTTGGCAGGAGCTGGAACTAGAGACGGGAGCTGACTCCATCATGCAGCACACTTGGGTCTCGAACTGCTGAACTACCGACCTTCCACATCCCTCTAGGGTTCTCAAGGGAAGAGACGTTCAGAGGTGGTTTGCCATTGCCTGCCTCTGCGTAACGATCCCGGACTTCCTTTGTGGTCTCCCATCTAAGTACTGACCAGGGCCGACCCTGCTTAGACTCTGAGATCTGATGAGATCGAGTTAGCCCGGGCAAACCACATCAAGGCAAGAGATGTACAGACGTGGTTTCCCATTGCCTGCCTCTGAGCATTAACCCTGGGCTTCCTTGGTCATCTCCCATCCAAGTACTAACCAGGGCCGATCCTGGTTAGCTTCTGAGATCTGATGAGATCGGGCTAGTCAGGGTGCAGACGTTACAGTCGATTTAAAATGTGAGAATCCTAACTGGAGCATGCCAAAAGGAACCAATAGAACCAGTTATAAGTTGGTTCTGCCGACTTCCAAGTTGAATAAACACAGAAAACACTGTGTTGAAATAATAAACACAATATTCATATGCACTTATAGCTAAATATATTTGATTTATATACACAACATCAACTCTAGTGTATTGTAAACACTTTCATAAGAACATAAGAGACGCCAATGTTGGATCAGGCCAAAGGCCCATCCAGTCCAACACTCTGTATCACACAGTGGCCAGAAATACCAGGGGCCATCACGAGGTCCACCAGTGGGGCCAGGACATTAGAAGCCCTCCCACTGTTGACCCCCCCCCCCAAGCACCAAGATGACAGAGCATCACTTGCCCCAGAGCCCCTATCTATAACTTGTGGCTAATACCCACTGATGGACCTCTGCTCCATATGCCTATCTAATTCCCTTTTGAAGCCGTCCATGCTTGTAGCCGCCACCAGTTCCTGTGGCATTGAATTCCAAGTGTTAATCACTCTTTTCAAACTACAACATCACATTTGAAGCACTTTCAGACTAAGTTATATAACACGAAGAGTCCAACTGTCTTCTTCCTGATGGAGGATAAATACCAACGTACAGTTATTTGTACCGAACAATGCAGCAACCTACTGTACATTTCCCAAGTGATGATCCATCAGGAAAAGCCAGCAGGCAGCTTGTATTTCTCACTGTGATGATTCAGCTTAGCAAGCAGGCCTAGTAGATGTATTTTCCCAAGTTGACTTCCAAGTTGATCCTGGGCTCAAAATATTTTTCGGTCCAGCGTGCATGACTTTAAACTCACTGGGCCTCATTGGCCATGTTGTTGCCCATTCACACAATTTAGAGAAAACCTTCTGTAGTTAGGGTTGTCAGGTCAACTTACCTGGCCAGTCTCCCCACTTCCTTCCGGGAGACTGGAAGTGATGTTGAGCATATTCGGGCCTACTTCCGGTTTCGGGCCTACTTCCGGTTTCGAGCCTACTACTGGTCATGGTGACATTCTGGTTTTTGGGCAAAACTTTATGGTAAATTTGGCTTCAAACCATAGAGTTTTACCCAAAAACCAGAGCATCACCCCAACCGGAAATTGGCCTGAAACCGGAAGCAGGCCCAAACCGGAAGTAGGCCTGAAAAGGTCAGTTGGCGGCAGGATTTTCCCCTGCCAGCCACCTGGCCAGTGGCGGACAAGAGCCTGTGAAAGCGGGGGTTTCCCTACTTCCACCGGGGGACTGGCAACCTTATCTGTAGTTCTTCACAACCCACCCTGGTTTTCACCTTCCTGAATAATCTGGTATCATCAACAAACTTGGCTATTGCACTTAGGGCTGCCAAGTGGGGGTGGGGGACGGGTAAACCCTCGCTTCGGGGGCCCGATTCCCACCCACGCGGAATCGAGCCCCAGGGGGAACTCCGCCCCCCGAAGCGCAGCATGGCTGCATCACCTTTTACACCTTCTCTTATGTTTTTATCTGGTCACACCAATCTCCCCCCCCCCGGGCTCCTCGTGTGTAATTAATTAGACCGGCTGCTGTCAGACGGGTCGTCGCTTGAGGCCCTTGGATCACGCTCTTGCTTAACTTGTCCTGGGAGGGGTGGCTCGAGGGAAGCCAGACACCTTTTAAGAGAGTCTTCAAGCCGCAGAATCAAAAGGCTGGCCTCAGGAGACGGTACGTGGGCTCAAGCCAAGGGGTGGTGGTGGAAAGCATCTTGTAAGAGCCTTGGAGGTCTGATGGGTATCTCAAAACCCTTCAGAGTCCCACGGATCCGCTCTCGTCTGGGACATTCCGAGGCTACATAACATGAAGACAAATCTGCCCGCAACTGGAATAGTGTAAAAGGGCGATGAACATAAGAAGAGCCCTGCTGGATCAGACTGGTGGTCCATCTAGTCCAGCATCCCGTCTCACACAGAGGCCTCAACCAGTTCCTCTGGAGGGCCAAGAACAGGGCAGAGAGGCTGAGGCCTTCATAAGAACCTGAGAAGAGCACCGCTGGCTCACCAGTGAGGGTCCATCTAGTCCAGCATCCTGTCTCACGCAGTGACCAACCAGATCCTCTGGAGGGCCAGCAACAGGACAGAGAGGCCGAGGCCTTCCCCTGAGAAGAGCATCAGAAGAGCTCTGCTAGATCAGACCAGTGGTCCATCTAGTCCTGCACCCTGTCTCACATAGTGGACAACCCAGTTCCTCTGGAGGGCCAACAACAGGGCAGAGAGGCTGAGGCCTTCCCCAGATAAGAACATCAGAAGAGCCCTGCTGGATCAGACCAGTGAAGGTCCATCTAGTCCAGCATCCTGTCCAACTCAATGGCCCACCAGTTCCTCTGGATGGCCAAAACAGAGCAGAGAGGCCAAGGCCTTCATAAGAACCTAAGAAAAGCCCTGCTGGATCAGACTGGTGGTCCAACCTAAGAAAAGCCCTGCTGGATCAGACTGGTAGTCCAGCATCCCGTCTCACACAGTGACCAGCCAGTTCCTCTGGAGGGCCAGCAACAGGCCATCTGATGTTCATAAGAACATCAGAAGAGTCTTGCTGGATCAGACCAGTGGTCCAAGGTCACCCAGTGAGCTTCTCCTCTCCTCCAATGGATATTGGCTCTGGAGGTTCAACAGAACCTCCATGTTTCCACTGAGGACTTCCAAACACTGAGGGCAGCCCACATTGACCCCTTTAGACCTTGTTCATGATCGCCTCAGAGACATCGGCGAGGTCCTTGTTGAGAACAGAGTTGATGCCCTGACCCAGAGAGGGAAACTCTTCTTTTCATTTTTGGTGGTGGAAGCTGCTGACGAGTTGCCACCAACTTATTCCCAGGCAAGAGACAAGCCCAGATTTCCTCGGTGGTCTCCCATCCAAGTAGTAACCAGGGCCTTCCTTGCTTAGCTTTCAATATCTGACGCGATCAGGCTAGCTAGGGCTAATCCAGGTCAAGGTGAGAGACGTTGAGGAATTTCAGACAGACGATATAATCCGGAAGAGGAACGGTTCCCAAACGGTTTCTGGTCTGTCATTTCAGAGAGAACCATTTTAGAACCGGTTCTCTACCGGAATATATTTGTAATTTCACACACAAACGCTTCTGTCACGTTTAGGAAATGGGGCTGAAGCGTTTTACCTGTCAACCGCTTCCAAGTAGTCTTCAGTTTCCTCTCCCGGTTCCGATGTGCTTTTTCCCACCGTTTCTCGCCCGTGTGGGCGATCTCCGGCTTTTTTTTTTTTAAAGTTTGCTTTATATCGTTATAGTGCTATAACGGTATAACACTATAACGCAAAAAAGTTTGCTTTATATCGTTATAGTGCTATAACAATATAACACTATAATGCAACAGCATTATATCAACCCCACTGGAATGCCTGGAGTGTTGTGTTATAGCACTATAGCGCTCTAAAGGGAACGTTAAAAAAAAAAAGCCGGAGATTGCCCGCACGGGTGAAAAACAGCGGGGGGAAAGCGGTGCAGTCTGAAATGGCAAACCGCTTCGGATCCAGCTCGTTACCGGAAGGGGAAAGCCATGTGTGAAATGGCAGCCCTATACCGGTTTACTCCACGACGGATCAAAAACGGCTTCAAAACGGGTTAAAAAGGGTAATGTGAAATTCCTCACCATCTCCCCCAGGGAAGGAGACGCGAGATCTAACGAGATCCGGACGGCCCAGGCAAGAGATGTTCAGAGGTGGTTTGCCATTGCCTGCCTCTGCATAGCAACCCTGGACTTCCTTAACCGTCTCCCATCCAAGTACTAACCGGGGCCGACCCTGCTTAGCTTCCGAGATCGAACGAGATCAGGGTAACCTGGGCCATCCAGGTCATGGCGTGTTCATTTCTGCCGTCTCTTAATCCACCCCTGGAAAGGCAAAGTAAAAGATTCCCGAATGAAAAGATCTCCGGTCTGAACCTTGCAGTAAGTTGGAGATTCTGGGTCTACGTCCACCGTAGCCAGGTAGTCGGGCGCTTGAGTGCCGGTTCCAGCGCCAGTTCCGGTGCCGGTTAAGATGCAGGGGACGTAGATGAGTCTCTCTCTAGGACCTTGGAAAGCAAAGAGGACATTTAGCAACAGGACTGTCGGAGAAGCCACTACAGCTTCCTCGACCCAAGGCCCCTTTCTCTTCTGTGAGCCGGTTTTTGCTTTCAGACAAAGATGAGTTTCGTCTAAAAAAAAGAGCAAGAGTCCAGGAGCAACGTAAAGACTAGCAAGGTTTGTGGCAGGGCGTGAGCGTTCGTGTCCTTACTGCTACTTATCTGAGCAAAGTTCGAGTCCAGGGGTCACCTTTAAGACTAACAAAATCTTATTCCTGATCTAAGCTTTCGTGTGCACGGATACTTCTTTGGATAAGCGTGCGTGCACACGGAAGCTTGTACCTTGCATAAAACTTTGTTGGTCTTCAAGGTGCCACTGGATTCCAGCTTGGTTCCACTGCTTCAGACACCCATCTGAATGCTACTTATCTGAGGAAGTGAGCAGTGACTCACGGAAGTTCAACTCCTGCCACCAATTTTGTTGGTCTTTTGCTCTTTTGTCTTGCTCTTTTCCAGGGGTCATTTCGTAGAAAAAGAGGTGCAGGAGCTCATTAGCATAACTTGTTTGCATATGCCACACCCCCTGACATCACCAGTGGTGTGTCAGAAGGCAACACCCACCGCTCAGGCTCCACTGGACTGTTTTGGATTGCTAGCTATTGCAAGGGGGGGGAGAATGTGCAGATCTGTCCTCGCAGGGGAGGGAGAGCTGGTACCTGAATAAAACTTGGTCTTAAAGGTGCCACTGGACTGTTTTGGATTGCTAGCTATGGGGAGGGGGAACGTGCAGATCTGCCCTCACAGAGGAGGGAGAGCTTGTACCTGAATAAAACTTGGTCTTAAAGGTGCCACTGGACTGTTTTGGACTGGGGGGCCGGGGGGGGGACTCTGCAACTTACCTGGCTACATCTTGATCTGACTGAGGGCTGTTGCATGTGCCCGCCCCCTGGGCTCTTTACTGCCGGAGCTCTGCTCCTGTGCGCTCCTGCAGGAAATGACCCCTGCAGTCTTTTCTATTAAACGAGCTCTAAAAGAGACCCATTTTGTTGGTCTCTTGCTCTTTTCTACTGCCACAGACTAACAAGGTGGCCAATCTGGATCTCTCTGAAGAAGTGAGCCACGTGACTCACGAAAGCTCCTCCCATGCGACAAATTTGGTTAGTCTCTAAGAAGAAGAAGAGGAAGAGATTGAATTTATACCCCTTGCCCTTCACGACCCAAAGGTGTCTCAGAGCGGCTTACAAACTCCATGAGTCACTGAACAGATTCTCTGTTCAGAATACCACCAATACCACAAGCCACAAAGGATAAAGCAGGTTCAAATTGCCCATAGCCAATAACCAGGGTTCCCGCTTGCTCCCCGGGAGCAGGGTTCGCGCTCAAACTCCTGGGAAAGCGACGGCTAGTCCGTTATCAAAACAAAACGCTTCCCACCCATTCTACTCATTAAAGCAAAAGCAAGGAGAATAAAAGACCGTCTCTGAACCACCTGTGACCTTGGGAAAAGATAACGTTACTGCAGAGCCTAGCTTAACTGGAATGCAAGTACATTGGATATATGTGCAAGCGTGTTCAAGCGAATACATGGCTAAAGGGGGGGGGTAAGTGCAGATACATGAATACACACCTATATATACATCAGAGATCATACAATGAACATTTGCAGCTTGCTGACACCCCTTCCCCTCCCCACAACAGACACCCTGTGGGGTAGTTGGGGCTGAGAGAGCTCTTTCCAGAGCTGGAGAGAACAGCTCTGATCAGAACCACGGCTTGCCCAAGGTCATCCAGCAGCTGCGAGTGGAGGAGTGGGGAATCAAACCCGGTTCTCCCAGATTATACAACAGACACCCTGTGAGGTGGGTGGGGCTGAGAGAGCTCTGACAGAAACGGCTCTTTTTCAAGAACAGCTCTCGTTTGAACTACGGCTTGCCCAAGGTCATCCGGCAGGTGCAAGTGGAGGAGTGGGGAATCAAACCCGGTTCTCCCAGATTAGAGTCCGCGCACTTAACCACTGCACCAAAATGGCTCTAAGGGGCTATTGAATTCTTCCTCTTTTCTACGGCTACAGACAGATTATCACGGCGGCCCATCTTGATCTAATTTTATCTCAGAACATCTCATCTGGTTATTAGTCCAGGTAAAATGTATTTTTTTTTCTTTAAAATGTTTCCCTGCCGCCTTTCCACCCAAATAGCGTCCCCAAAGCAGCCAGAGTCAAAACGGTCTAACATTAAAACTCCATTTGAAATTAAGCATCTACAAAATAATCAAACCACTCAATAAAATGTGGAAATGCAAACACACGTGCCCGTCCACTGCAGAGCTGGGGTTGCTAGAGAAACGCAAAGCTTTGGAGTTTTCGAGAAAAGTAGAGTTGTCAGTTCCTGGCTTGGAAACTCCTGGAAATTTGGAGGGATGACGGGGTTTGGGAAGAGCCTCAGTAAGGTATAATGCCATATACGCCCTCTAAAGAGCCAGTTTGGTGTAGTGGTTAAGTGTGCAGACTCTAATCTGGGAGAACCGGGTTTGATTCCCCCACTCCTCCTCCACTTGCACCTGCTGGAAGACCTTGGGCAAGCCGTAGCTCTGATAAGAGCTGTTCTTGGAAAGAGCCGTTTCTGTCAAGAGCACTCTCAGCCCCGCCTACCTCACAGGGTGTCTGTTGTGGGGAGGGGAAGGGAGAGGAGTTTGTCAGCCACTCTGAGACACCTTTGGGTAGTGAAGGGAGGGGTATAAATCCACTTCTTCTTCTTCTTGTCATAGTTTGGTGTAGTGGTGAAGTGCGCAGACTCTAATCTGGGAGAACCGGGTTTGATTCCCCACTCCTCCACTTGCACCTGCTGGATGACCTTGGGCAAGCCATAGTTCTGTCAGAGCTGTTCTCTCAAGGGCAGTCCTTGAGAGAGTTCTCTCAGCCCCGCCTACCTCACAGGGTGTCTGTTGTGGGGAGGGGAAGGGAAAGGAGTTTGTGAGCCGCTCTGAGACTCCCTTGGGTAGTGAAGGGCGGGGTATAAACCCAATCTCTTCTTCTCGAAAGAGCTCTCTCAGCCCCACCCACCTCACTGGGTGTCTGTTGAGGGGAGGGGAAGGGAAAGGCATTTGTAAGCCGCTCTGAGACACCTTTGGGTAGTGAAGGGCAGGGTATAAATCCAATCTCTTCTCTTCTTCCTCTTCTAAACTGATCTCTGTCATCTGGAGATGAGCTGTGATTCCTGGAGAACTCCAGTCCTCACCTGGAGGCTGGCAACCTGGCAACCTGTTTTGAATAGGCGCCTTGTCGAGTCCAAAACAGACTGTCAGGACCCACAGCAAAACAACGAAGTACCCGCTTCCAGGAAGGTTTTACTTTTATTAAAAAGCCATAGATGCAATAACACGAACACTGTTAGGAATGGCGGGTTACCTATGTGCATAATAGGATATAGGGCATTCGTATGCGCCCCCCCATAGTGATACCCAATTAGAGGGCCTCCCGCGCTCGGGCATTTGGCAGATTCTCTAACGCCCGCGAAGCTGGGAACGTAAGAAGCTCCCACGGAACCTATACAGTACCAACTCCTCCAGTGACCTTGATAGATGCGCGTTACAGGTTTGAAGCGATTATGCGCATGGGAAGGAATGCAAAGCAATTAGAAACATACAGCACACTCATGGCAGCTTTAGCTGACACAGACCAATGATTGGAACAAACGGCTGGCAGGCATTCCTTTCGCTTCCAGCATCGTCTATTGGCAACGCTTTGTGGGCCAATGGAAGCGCTTCCGGTGCCAAATTCTCCTCTCCGCTAGCCTGCCCGACTGGTTGAACGGCACGTAAAAAAAAAAAAAAGTGTGCTTTCTGTGTAAAAAAGGAGATTTGGATCTGGCCGTTCGTTCGAGGACGCGCCCCTAGGGTTGCCAACTTCCAAGTGGCACCTGGAGACCTCCCGCTATTCTGGTTGATCTCCAGTCGTAGGGTTGCCAACTCCAGGGTGGGAAATGTCAGGAGATTTTGGAGGCGGAACCTGAGGAGGGCGGCGTACGGGGAGGGGAGGGGCTTCGATGGGGTGTAATGCCAGAGACTCCAGCTTTCAAAGTGGGCATTTTCTACAGAGGGAACTGATCTCCGCTCCTGTGCGCTCCCGCAGGCAGGGCTCTTTTTGTAGAAAAAGCCCAGCAGGAACTCATTAGCACATTAGGCCACACCCCTGACAGCATGGCTCATTAGCATATGAGGCCGCACCCACATGTTACCAGAAGTGTGCTCATCCAGCCACACCCACCTTTTGCTTCTTATTCTGTTTACCTTGTTTGTTGTCAAAACCCAGGGCCTTTTTTTGTAGCAGGAACTCCTTTGCATGTTAGGCCACACACCCCGAATGTAGCCAATCCTAATGAGTTTCTGCTGTTGGGTGTGGCCTATTATGCTAATGAGTTCCTGCTGGGC